GCCATGTGTTTTCTTTCTTTCTTTCTTTCTTTCTTTCTTTCTTTCTTTCTTTCTTTTTTTCTCTTTCTCTCTCTCTCTGTGTCAGTCTGTGTGTGTGTGTGTGTGTGAGTGGTGGGTTTCAAAACCTCTTCTGTAGGTGTGGCCTACTTTCCAGGGGTCCACTGGTGGAACCTCTTCTAACCAGTTCTGTAGATTTGACGAACCGGTTCTACCGAATAGGTGCGAACTGGTAGGAACCCACCTCTGGTTTGGGCAGTAGCTTATTCCTCTTTCCTCTTCAGGAGGCAGTGGTAGTCCTCTTGCTGAAGGGATTATCACTCAGCTAAACTTGCCTGGGCAATTTTCATTCTTTGCCTTTTAGGGCAGGTGTAGAGAAATGGCCACACTGCACTTTCAGTAGACTCTGGATGCAATTGCTTTTTTGGCAGATGAGGTTAACTCCACGGACCGGCCTTTCTTAGAGCCCCAAAGATCGAATTCTGAGCCCAAATCTCAGGCTCTGCTTCGTGATGAATGATTATTGTGTTTCTCTCGTGGGCTATGTGTTTGAACTTTTGTTATTTTATTTTTTAATATTGTTCGCCAGTCAGAGTTACTTGTTGAGATCGGCAGCTGTATAAATTGATTATATAAACCCTAGAAAACCTTTTCCTAAAAAAAACCTGGGAAATGAAAGAAATGCACAGCGGTGGGGGTGGCGGTGGGGGGTAAATGAGTCATCTCAGCAAACCAGGGAGTGCAAAATATTTAAAAGCTGAAACTGTGATCCCATCTGAAATGCCCTCCATAAAGTTTTATGGCTGTGTTGCTCCATTTCAGGACAAGGAGTCATGCTGGAACGCTCCCCCTACAGTGAGACTCCACAGTCTCTTGGGTTGGCCTACCTTGCAGAGTTGTTGTTTCAGGGCAAATGAAGGGGGGCCCTGAGAAAGGCAGGGGGCTTGAAGGGGGCGCAGGTGACCCGGAGAGCCCCTCAAGCGGGACGGGGGCACTTTAAATCCCTTGAGGACCTCCCCCCCCGGGGTTGAAATCTGGTGACGAAAATTCGGTGAAAATGTATTTATTTCATTCATTTTTTATGAAATTAAATTTTTATGAAATTTATTTGCATTTCAAATGACTCTGCAGCATAAAAACCTTAAAAAGCAATAAGATCACAGGATATAAAATGACCGAAGTAGATAAATTAAGATCATTGAGTGAAACAGAGCATATTTCATGTATTAATTACATTTCTTTATCCCAACTTTTATTACTATTAGGAGGAGGGCGCGAGTGTTATGGGGAGGCCCAGCAAAGTGAGGACTGGAGGCGGGGGTGGAGGGCCTTGGGAGATGTTGAATTTGGGGCCAAGGCTGGGTTTGGTGATGAGGGTGATGAAAGAAGGAGAAGAAGGGTGCCTTGAGAGGTAGTGGAGGCCGGCATGGGCGCTGCAGCCGAATGGTGAACTAGTGAAGGACGAAACAAAATTTGAAGTCTTAACCGGAGAAGCCCGATTAGCGAATGATAAAAGATTTAGAAAACTCATTATTGGCCTGATGCGAGATTGTTGTGATACATCTATCTATGCCCAAGAAAACTTCATGCATGTGTCTTATTTTATGAGAAACTAATAATTGTTCGACCTTGATTGAAATCCGTTCTGATTATAAAGCTGCTCTGCTTCTTAATGTGAGGTTCTGAGGTATTTTTCCACGCATATTAATAGAACCATTTCACCTAGTAACTTTTTTCCCCCTACCGGCTTTTTTCCCCTACAGTCTTGACTCAAGACTGTTCTAATAGCAATAGCACTTAGACTTTTATAACACTTTCCAGCCCTCTCTAAGTGGCTTACAGAGTGAGCATATTGCCCCCAACAATTTGGGTCCTCATTTTACCAACCTCAGAAGGATGGAAGGATGGTGAAATTCGAATTGCCAAATTGCAGTCAGCCAGAAGTCAGAAGTAACCTGCAGCAGAAGTAACCTAAAGTAAACACTGCCACCACGCCTCCTAATATCTCCTGAACTATGAAATTAGTTCAGAGAGATGAATAATCTGTAAAGCAAAGGGAGATTCTATGAAGATTCTCAGTCATCCAGGTCATGATTATCCCACAGGTGCTTTTTCAAGTTTCTTGTAACTACTGGTGGGGTCTCTCTTCAGAATATCATTGTCCTTTAGAAGTTTGTTCACCTCCACCTTTTAGTCATCTGTGTTCAGGATGAGTGTGCATCTGGCAGAATGGTGATGATTGGGTGTCTTCCTAGAAATATCACTGCTCTCCTTTCTTGAATTATGAGGTTGGAAAAGGGGTGTTTTTGTCTTGACAAAGGGACATGTTCTTGGGAGCAGTTTTTAGAAAAGATTTTCTAGGGGTGGGTTTCTGTCTGTCTGTCTCTTCTTCCCCTCCCCCCCAGTAGTGAAATTCAATTGTTTATACTACCAGTTCTGTGGGCGTGGCTTGGTGGGTGTGATGTGGCTTGGTAGGCGTGGCAGGGGAAGGATGCTGTGAAATTTCCATTCCCTCCCCACTCCAGGGAAAGGATACTGCAAAATGTCCATTCCCACCCCATTCTGGGGCCAGCCAGAGGTGGCAGCTGCTGGTTCTCCGAAGTACTCAAAATTTGCTGGATTTCACCCCTGCTCCCCCCCCCCCTTTAAGGCTAGGCCAGGAGCTTGGCTTCTATGTATCTGAAGGAACCAGCAATTGTGCAGATAGAAGAGCAGCATAAAATTTTACTTACTTATCAAGGCTTTGCATCATTCCATAAATAGGCCTTGTTAGATATTAGTTCTAACTACAGTGGTTTCCACCAAGGTGCTCTGTTCCAGCGGGAACAGAGGTTTAATCCTATTGGTTGAAGGGTCTGACAGCTCCATATAAAAGGGCTGCTGTGAGACTCAACCTTCGCTGGATTATTCTCACTTGTTGTACTTAATAAAGAGCTGGACACAAAATGGCCATGCATGCCCCACCGACTTTGTATGACCCAGTCACTGAGCACTGGGATTCATACATGCTACGATTTGATTGCCTCATCGAGGCAAACAACCTCATGGGCCTTCCTGAAGGCCAGAAAAAGAACATGTTTCTCCGATACTGTGGCTGGGAAGTGTTTGAGACGGCAAAAAATCTCTCTTACAAGTGCACAATAAATAAAGCACACAACAAAGCCCCTACCCTGTACCCATTGTACAGCACCTACTTCATTCACTAGGCCCAGGAAAATCTTCACAAAATTGGGCATGGCACAGCCATACCAACAATTCCCTGTAGATAGCACTACGGTGGAGGCCCAAACCATTGTGATGCACAGGAGTGCATTTAAATGTCACCGCCTGCAATTCGGTGTTAGCATCGCCCAAAGCGTCATGGAATGGCTTTTGCAGGGGATTCCAGGAGTCATCCCCTATTTCAGCGACATCTTCCTATATCAGTTGACTCCAGCCCATCGAGTGATATGCTCAATACAGGTGGCAGCGACTGGGGGGGAGGATTCCGGCCTGATGATAATGAAGCCTATCAAACCGTTTGTGATACAGGTAGTGGTGGAAGTGGCCAGGAAACAACAATGTACAGCCCTGATCGATTCAGGGTGCACTTGTTGCTTAATGAATGCCACAGTCGCTGATAGTCTGGGGGTTGGTCTCAGCAAGTTGGCTAGGCCAATGTGTTTTAATCAGATGGATGGGTCATTATTGGGAGGCCAACCAGCCACACATGTAACTGATCAGGTGGTATTGCGGATAGGGCCTCATCGGGAGTTCTTGTGTTTTGTAGTGGTTCCACACATTAGAGGAGATTGTACTAGGCGTGGCTGGATAAGTGGGAAGCCACGATATGGTGGGGTGGTGGTAGTAGGCATCTCAGAATAGGCCTTGGTCCTGACCCCTCTCCTCATGAGGCACAAACCATGGCCCAGGGTCCAGTGGGATTCTAGGCTACAGTGCCATTGGTACATATAGCTGGGGAGGAGCGATTCCCTCAGGTATATGCAGACTTAAAAGATGTATGTAGCGAAAAGGAATGTGATACTTCCCCCCCCCCTCACTGCCCCACAGATGGTGCAGTGGAACTACTCCCTGGGGCTAAACTGCCAAAGCCCTGAATGTATTCTATGACCCCACAAGAGCTAGCAGAAAAGAGGGCATACATAGAAAAGAATTTTAAAAGGGGCTTTATTCAGCCAGATAGATCAAGGGTGGCGGCCCCCGTTCTTTTCCGGGAGAAAAAGAATGGCGGCCTTTCTGTTGACTTTTGGGGCCTTAATGCTGTCTGTGTGGAACATTTGTACCCTCTCCCTTTAATGAAGGACATGCTGGCTAGATTAGCAGAGGGATGCATATTCACGAAATTAGATCTTAGGGAGGCTGGTGACAAATGGAAGACAGCCTTTAATTATCCTCTAGGCGGTTACTAGTTTAGGTTATGCCCTTTGGACTGCAAGGAGCCCCAGCGGTGTTCATGCACTTAATTAATGAAGTGCTGCATGAGCATCTATATCAAGGGGTACACAAACAGCTAAGTAAATCTACAAAGCTAGTGATAACTGAGAACAATCCACGATTAATTGCAGGGTGGTATTTGTTTTGGGTTACGAGGGGATGGGTGTGCACACTGAGGTGCAGGTTATCCTAATTACTAAATAACTATAAAAGGTGGTGGGAAGGCCTGGTGGCAGCTCTGACAATTTATATGTTGCCTTAGTACTTTGTTGGTCAGTTTGTGCCGAAGGAAGAATACAAACTGCATTTCAAATCATTCCTATGTTTGGCTGTTTTCATTAACCCTTCAGTTCAGAACCTGACACTTAAGTATCAGGCTACCAAAATGTATTGCTGGAGGTGTGATTTAGTTGCTCCCACTGAGCTTTTTATGTGAAAAAAAAGGTCACTTGGTGCAATTTTCTGTCCAGGAACATGCACAGTACTTCTACCCACCTGTATCATTTATGCCAGTTATAAATAAAAGCATTCAAAGTACAAAACAAACACTAATTTCAAATTTTGAAAAATATTTTGTAAACATATAATTTTGGTAATTTTTACAACTACACAGTGAAACAATTACACTAAGATATCAGCTAAGTAAGATACCTTAGGAATGCATACATATAATTTATGAAGCAAAATTTATAAAAGGTGTTACCAATCTTGTTAATAAATGTTCATGAACAGAACAGGAACTTTAATAAAATACAAATGTTGCAAACTGGAAATATTTTGAAAAGGGAGGGAAACTTTTCATTTTTTGAAAACAAGGAAGGTCTAATTGTTTGATTTAGTACAGTTTGTCACAGTGTCCCAAAAGAGGGAAATAGGACAAAATTTCAGAGCAGAGGGAATCAACAGTACCTGGGCTGGAATTTTGCGTTTGTTTTTTCAGGGTTTGTCAGCTGTATTAAAGAAGTTAGCCTCAAATGAAAACATTAGCTCCAAGTTCAGGAGCAGCAGTTTTTCCCTCCTTAGTGAAGTCATCTATAGGAAGACCTTTAATTTTCCTCACCCAAGCATTTTTACACACCTTTTCTCTATTTGCAATAACTTTTGTCTTGGTTGCCTGGTACTCTGCAATCTTAGCTTCTTCATATTCTTTCATTTGTTGTGTAGTCAAAAGTTGGAACCCAGAATTATAACGATAAGGATTTGGATTAATGACATTAAAAACTTTTCTGCGCCGTGAAATTACATTGATATCAGGTTGGGCAATCTTCATTCGTGGTATTTTGATGGATTCAGCTGAACTTGTAAAGCCACCAATGATCTTACTCGCGGGGACAGCTGGAGATGAGATGTTAAAATAAGCTTTCCTTCTTGACAAGCTGCTGCAAGACTTGGAACGTGTGATACAGGGGGGAGGAATGAAGGATTTCACAGTACTACCAAGCAAAGAATTCTTTGTATTGAGCTGTAGCATTTTGGTTTCATAAGGTGAGGAAATCTTTTCCATACCTAAAGTGATACCAGCAGCCTTTAGTTGTTTCACTTGGGCTGCTAGATCTGTTGCCTTGTTCTTTGAGCTTTGAGCAGATAGAGTTGATTTAGGCTGTAATTTCTTGGGCTGAACAGGTTCCCAAGCATCTTTAATGTTCATGTTGTATGCCATATTGGCACTGACGTTATCTTGTTGATAGGCATGATGTACTGTACTGACAGTGAGGAGTATCTGATCATTAGATATGGGATCAATAGGATGCCTCTTCTTTAGGTGATTTAACAAAGCCTTGGTATTCTGGCTAAATAAGGAAATGGGTGGAGTTTCTTGTACTAATTCCTCATCTGTTTTAAAAAGAAAAAGAGAGAAAGGAGTTTAAAGCCTAAAATACTACCTATTGATATCAGAACAGGACTTGAAGACAGAAAGCAGGGGCAACTCAGCAGAAGGCCGTGCAACCTGGTCTTCAAAAACGGACATTAAAAAAATACTTACAGAATTAGAAAAATCGGAAGCTTTATTGAAAAACCCAGGAAACTGTTTGATTTATTAATTTAATGAACATATGGGTCATCTTAATCACAGAGGATTATAAGATTTAAAAGCATCTGATAATGATAATAAATAAACATAGAAACAATCAACAGTAATACCCAATGGCAGGAAGAACAAAAATAAAACCCAATTACAACCATAAGACAGGGATTCAACATCGGGAACAAGTCATAACTCACCCTCTATTGAGTGACTGTATTTGGGCTGATACTTGCCAAAGCAATCATGACTACAGAATTATAAACAGTAAGCAAACAATTCTGATATTTAAAAAACAGGAAATGCAAGGAATATGCATATGTTGCACTGAATTCACCCACTCCAATGTTCCAATGCTTCTCTAACTCTTAACAGTTCCCCAAATATCTATTTTTAAGTGTAATGCTTTGCAAATCATCATTTCAATCAATGAGCACTTACCTATAATAAGTTTATTGAATATGGTGAAACTTATTTCCAATTGAGAATACTTTAGACCAGTGATGGCAAACCTTTGGGGTTTGCCGTGTCAAAAATCTGGAAAATCCCCAACATGATTCGGCTGATGTGTTATATTTCATACCCAAAGAAAAGAGAATCAATTCTCTATCTCCCCTCCATCTAGGCTTACCAAGTGTCAACAATGACACTTGACAGCAGCACAAAGACTGAGCCTGAAGTTAAGGCCTGGGCTTTGACTTCAACCCTAGCATCACCACTGCTATTGATAAAGAAAACCTTGCACCATGCCCCAAAGCCTATGAATCTTGGGGAACAGTGCAATTGCATCATGAACCAGCACTCCCATGTATCTACCATGTGCTTCTTACATTCAGTATTTTCTTTCTGTTGACAGCCTACTTGAGGCTGCTCTGGAATACCAAGGACCTTCATTCTTTTTCTTTTTAAAATATGCTTTTTTATTTTCCATTTTCATGACATACAATCACATGTATACTATTACATAGCCGATATCCTATTGTATTAAGTAGTAATTACATCAGTTCCTCTTGTCATCAACGCCCAAAAAGATAAAAACCCATTATTAGCTCTTCTGCTCTCCATACACCTCTTTCTTCTACCTCTCTCCTACCTCCTTTCTTCCCTTCATCATCCTTGCCTATTCTACTTCCCCTTCCTTTCTCCTTCTCCTCTCTCTACATTCCACTCCTCCTTATCCTCCTCATCTTCCCCCCTTACCCTCTCTCCTATCCCTCTCTTCCCATCTTTCCCTTCTGTTTCCCACTCTTCCTCTCATTGGTGTATTTCCGCTTCTATATCAATGTACTTAACATATCCTAGGTTTAAAGAAAAAATAAGAGAAGACAGTATACATGTGGAATCGTATTACATTAAAATCTAACACCCCTCGTCAAACCTAATATACATCCCTCCCTCCCCCCCCAACCCACCCTCCCAGCCTTCCCTCCCCCTTCATTCTTGAAGTGGCTTCAGAGAAAATTCTTCCACATCCTCTGCAGCCATTCTTGCATAACCTCTGCAGCCTCAAAAATCCCACAACAATGGGATTTTCAAGAATACTTGTTGAGTATTGGTGAATGTTGGCATGTCACCCAAAATACGATGTGGTTATCTCTGACATGTATGTCCTACGTTCTCCCTCACTGCATTAGATTATAGTGAAAGTCCATTTCATTTGTAAGGTATGAACTTGCCAGTGCCTGCTTTCTTTCTAAGATTCTTCTATATCCCTATTTGCTCAATTTAGACTAGCAGCAACTACTAGTTGTTCATCAAATTCTCAAGGCTATCAGTAAAAGCAGTACTAATTGTTATTAACATCATACTGCAATGTTCCTAAGATAAACTGCCATGCAACAAGTTTAAAGTAATTTGGCTTGGTTCTTTATGCAGTAGTCAATAATAGTAACCTGGTGGCAGTTTATGGTATGTCTGAAGCCTGAATTCTATTTTGTGCATAACATAACAATACATAATAGATTATCTAAACATCAGTCAGAGTTTTGTCTTTGGTAATGGTAAAAAGCTTTAAGCCTTGTGAAAACCTGGCAGACATTCAACAGGGCTCTTGATTTCTTTTGTCGTTTTTTTAAAAGTGTGTCTATATTTATTTTAAATAAATACAGTATGCACTTCTGGTGCCAAATTCGGTGTTTAGAATTATAAATAAAAATATTAGATAGAATAACAGAGTTAGAAGGGACCTTGAAGGTCTTCTAGTCCAACCCCCTGCTTAGGCAGGAAACCCTACACCACTTCGGACAAATGAATATCCAACATCTTCTTAAAAATGTCCAGTGTTAGAGCATTCACAACTTCTAGAGGGAAGTTGTTCCACTGATTCACTGTTCTCACTGTCAGAAAATTTCTCCTTAGTTCTAAGTTGCTTATCTCCTTGATTAGTTTCCACACCCATTGCTTCTTGTTCTACCCTCAGGCGCTTTGGAGAATAGCTTGACTCCCTCTTCTTTGTGGCAACACTTGAGATATTGGAACACTGCTGTCATGTTACCCTTAGTCCATCTTTTCATCAAACATATTGAATTTCTTATTGAATTTCTTATATTCACAGTGGCGACAAAGGCAATTAAAGCCAACAAAAAGATCTGTTTGGCACATAGCTCAAACCCATATCATTTTATTTATAATTCTGAAATGTTTCTTTTCATTCCCATTATGAGATCCTGGGTGCAGGGAAGGCTTGAATATCCATTTGGACTGAATGGTTTGTTTAGCATTGAATGGGGACAGCGCACATCTACATGGAAGGGACTGGAGAGAAAGCATAGGCACAGAGATGGATGAAGGTAAGGCTACAGCAGAAGGGCCAATTGAATGGAATGAACAGAAGAATAAAATTACCTTCCAAATTTTTTAGCTATCGTTTGTTTTATATTTTAAGGGAGAGAATTCAAAAAGAAAACAATCTGGTTATAGGAAGATGTGGGGTGAAGAGTTATCCTAAAGGGTTGTGATGAATGCGTCCAATTTCCAGCTACAAGACCAGATACGATGCTTAATACCCCCTGCATCTTTAAGGGTATTTCCCATCATTAGCTGAATAATTAATAACTGGCTTTGCATACTCAGGAATCCTAGCTTATAGCATAAAAATATATGGAGCAGAATAGTCATCTTTTCCAGTTGCCTTTGATTTGGGGAAATCAGATAAGTCTGTGCAGACTTCAAACCAATTTTCCCATTTTTTTTATTCCCAATTTTTTTTTTTTAGAATATTCCACTTTGGTTAGAAATTGGGAGATCATGACAGTTAATCCATTTTTTTGTAATTCTCTTTAGTTTTGCCCATAAATTAAAAACGCACTTTATTTTCTTAAGGTATTAATCAGTAGCCTAAAGGTAGATATAAGTAACCATTATAACTTTTAAAAATAATTCTCAAAAATTATTTACCAGAAATAACTTTCATTAATGTTGAAGATTGCTCCCGTAAGGCTTGATGGGCAAGTAGAGAGAGTCTTTGCTTTTGGTATGGATCCAGGTCTATGGATGCCTTACCTTCCCTCTTCCGGGGTAAAGGAGTCTTCACAATTTCATAAACAAGGGCTAGAAGAAAATCACATGGTTAGCAATCCAAAATGTCACGCAACAGAACGCCATGGAATAATTCTAATTAAATATGGCCTCATAAAGTTAGAGGATTAATTCCCACAGTGGGATTTTGTAGAAGAAGGAGACTATACATCCGATGTATATTTGTGTGCATAAAGATCCTCAATATGGCAAGTTTTGAAAAATATCAAATACCTTGGGAGAAAAGCATACCATACCAGACCTTTTCAGTTTTGAAAGAAATCTGAAAAGATAATTCATGGTGTTTGCAGATGAAACTTTTATCATTCAATTATTTTGTTTCCCTGAAGAATTTTATAGAAGATGAAACATAGGTTTCATATCTTTGGCTTACAATCTATTTTATCTTACTAAGTCTATGTTTTTTTCCTATTAAAATATATTACAGTACAGCAAAATAAAACATCTGTACAATTGTTTGACTGATATCCCCCAAAAATTGTCTGGAAGCATAGCTATCTTATAATTCCACTTTAATTTATTAAAACTTACTGAAATATCTCCATGAGAATTAAACAGATATAATACTTGGTATAAATAATGGGACCTGACAGTGTTCATTAAGTACAGAGCCGTGATGGAACAGTGGTTAGAATCAGAGGTGGGTTGCCAATTTCTTTACTACCGGTTCGGGTGTACTCCTGAGTGCACGCGAGATGCTTCTGTGCAAGCATCTGGGCAGGTGGGCAGAGCCTCCCACCACTGCTACTGCTGGTTTGGCCAATCTGGGTGAACCAGGAGCAACCCACCTCTGGTTAGAATGCAGTATTCAGACTAATTCTGACAACTGCTGACTGCCAGCAGTTTGGCAGTTCGGGTCTCAAGGTTAACTCAGCCTTCCATCCTTCTGAGGTTGGTAAAATGAGGACCTAGATCCGTGGTTCTCAACTGGGGGGTTGAGCAATTGTCCCAAAATATGCACAACTGTATCACCCCAATTATACGCATTCAGAACTGATTCACCAGTGTGTAGAATTTATATTGCCACTGGTTGGCAAAAAGAGTGCATTAGTTACCATGTGATTATTTGGACGCTATAGTTAAGTGTTCATGTTATGAACATAATGTATTTTTCACTTTAACATAAAATGGAAGAAGAGTCAGAGCAATCACATCATTTCATTTCCTGCTAAGTGTAGTGTGCAAAATGCACACTACACATTTGTAGATGGTATTTATCTTATTGATCTGAAGAAAAGGCTTCCTGTTGAAGCCATCCATCACCATCTGCTCACTCTGACATAATTGTTGGCAGAAGGGGTACTTCTTGCTAATTTGATATACAGTAGATACATACATATACAATTATACCTGCACGAACATATATACCTGGGACACTTTTGGATAATCTTGTGGTCTGCTGGGAAATATAATAGGAAAGTACTGTGTCGTCAGCTTCTCTGTATAGCTTCCAATTTTTCTTTCTGGCTCTTTTCTCTCGCACGGATTTTGAATATGGAGGCGGCTTAATTTGGGCTGGTACGTCATGAAATCTGCCTATGACTGCTTGGTTAGATATTCTATTAGCTTTATTAGCTATATTATGATCCCATTCTACTTCCTCAAACCGGAACAAAACCACACTTCCTTCTGCGTTGATCAATAATCTAGGGAAGAAATTGTATGAGTGAGAAAACATAAAATCTGTCCACTGATTCAAGAAAATGATTTGTAATGAAGTGGCTTCAGGTTGCTGACACAACTATTCTTCCTTGCAACTAGGGCCCCCAAATTCTATTATTTAAAATCAGAAGATCCACAATAATAACAATCATAGGAAGGGGAGGTTGGTCACTGCAAAATGAAGGAAAGGTCTCCGCCCCCCTCTTTTCCCCCCATCACAATCTGAATGAAAAATATTCCTGAAAAGCTGTTTTTGCATGGTCAAGGACATTTCCAGTATTTTCCTTCCAATACTAATACTTTGGATGATTTTTCAAGGAAAAGAGTCTTCTGCAATTCCTATACACATTAAGTAGAAATGAATTTACAGCTCGCTTTTCCATAAAAATGAGTACATAAAACCAGATTGCTATATGAGTCACTCTAACACAACAGCAGTAACTGAAAACATATCACTTTGATTGACTCAGGCTTCTCTAAGTAAAAATACTTTGATATCAAAAGCTATCAAGTAATCAGTTAATTCTCTAACCAGGGAACTCTTGTTTTAATTAATTTTAAGGACATTTTTACAGATTAAAGACAATACAAATTTTTAAAAAAGAGTAGGAAATAAAAGAGAAAGGAACAAAAAAGAAAAGAAAAAGTAGATATAAAGAAACAGCTTCTAATTTTCTTTACATCGATTGTAAATACATTGATATTTCCAGTTCAGCATTAATATTTAAATTACTTGTATCATTGTGTATATTTTAATCAATTTTTTCTAACTTTTTTACAAGTGAATCAGGCATTATAACATGACCATTCACATTTACCATATTTCCAATATACATACGTTTAGCACCTTTATACATTCCAGAAAGTTTTCCTGATGTCATGTGCCAACATAGCATTTTACAAACATTCTCTTTTAAACTGTAACATAACGTGAAGTTCAGCCCTTTCAACCACATATTTTCCCATTGATCCATCTGTATATTATAATCAAAGTGCTTAGTCCATTTCATCATACACTCATTAACTTGTTCTTCTTGTTTCAAATTACAGTAAAACATACATATTTTTAGCAATTGTGCATAATGTTCATCATTTTCACATAATTCTCTTTGAAATTCTGTCTTATATTGTTCAGTTCCTAAAAATCATTTTATCTACTTAAAATCTTTCTCTTAACTTAGGGTGACCAGACGTCCCGCTTTTGGCGGGACAGCCACGCCTTTTCATAAATTTTCTCGCGTCCCGCATGGTTCTTAAAAACACACNGTCACATGGGCAGCAAGCCACTCCCACAAAGGAGGCCACACCCACAGAGTAAGTTCGAACAATTTTTGAAACCCACCACTGTCCAGAGGGTTCCCACTGCGGCATCCTGAACTCATCTAAATCGAAGGATACATCTAGAAGGACTATGTCTAACTCTTGGTGGAATCCCCCAGGACCGCTGTCTATCGGGGGGGATATGACTAGCTGCAGTGTGGAGGTCAGCAGGAGACCAAGGATAATGAACCATGCATGGTCTTCTCAAGCCACCAGGGAACGGTGTCCTACCACCAGTGGTGGAATGTGGAGGATTGAGCAGGCTGTTGGTAGCTCCCATATTCCAAGGTTTACTTCTACCTTATGGAAGATAGAGCTAGGAGGCAGCACCCACCTGGGAGATATGGAATTGCTCGTGAAGAAAACCAGGATAGAATTAGACCTGGGTCCAACATTTTTGAGGCACCGAACCGGCAGCAATGCCGGTGGCAAACACCACCACCACCCGTCGACAGTGGTTGGTTTTCAGCCTTGTACACCGAAAACCAGAATCCCTGCTACGAGACGGGCAGCTTACAGACACGACTTAAATCCCCCAATCCAAAGATAAATTAAAAAAACAAGACAGAAACTGTGACACAGAGGGAAAGTGATTTGGAGAGAGACAAATAAGGGCTTGGCGAGAGAGATCCGCTGGGTTTTAGGGGAGCTCAGCCAGCTAAAACTCCGCAGGGGGTCGGTGGGAGTTCCACCGAGGAGGAGATGCAGAACCGCTCCGGTTTCAGAGATCCTTGGTGGTCTCCAACTTGACGTTCCCAGGAGAGCAGTGGTGGGATTCAGCCGGTTCGCACCGGTTCGGGAGAACCGGTTGTAAAACTTTCTGAGCAGTTTGGTAAACTGGGTTGTTGAAAGAAATTATGAGGGCACAGAACCGGTTGTTAAATTATTTGAATCCCACCACTGCAGGGGAGCCAAACGAAAGAGGTCCTTTCTCGATTGTAAAACTCCCCGGGAAGAGGAGTGGGTGGGGTGGGGGGTTTGGAACAGTGGTGGGTTTCAAATTTTTTTGGAACCTACTCTGTGGGTGTGGCCTCCTTTGTGGGAGTGGCTTGCCGGCCATGTGACCTGGTGGGAGTGGNGATAAACTATATAAGGACTTTCCTGACTTTCACTCTTTGTTCAGGCCCTTGTTTCCGAACCTGCGCAATAAACATTTCCTTCCCTGAAGAGCTGGCTTGCGTTTCCTGTCTTTTCTACAACAACGGGATGCGTGGGGTGGGGGTTTCGGGAGGCCAAAAATGCTGTATTCAGTGTATAAGACGCACCCAGATTTTCACCCTCTTTTTTGGGGGGGGGGAAGGTGCGTCTTATACTCCCAAAAATACGGTAGTTTTTTCTCTCTCTGGAAACCAGAGGGAAATTTCCAAAGAAGGAAAATATGAATATTAAAAACCCAAAGATGAACTCAAATAGAGAAGAGAACACATTCTGATTTTTCCTTCAAGGCTTGATTTTTGGTGTTACTGCAATTTCCCCGTGGCAAACATTACCGGCTCTTTTCGGCATACAAGAAGACCTCTGCAGAATTGTGCTCTTGGTCCAACAACTCCATGAAGGCTCCCACATCATCACAACGATGTCATGTTTCCTGGGTGTGTTTTTGCAGTAAGGACAGGACTCCATACTGAATGAGGAGAAGTGTGTGTGGGGGGGAGGGGCTTGCCTCTTGGATGGATTTGTGAATCGGGGTGAAGAAGACCTCCCGCAGCTCTTTGTCGAGATCTTCAAGGACAGATTGTGGTTTTACCCTTTCAAAAAGGAAGAGCAGAACTTACAGAAGGAGGTGGAGATTCCCGGCCGATCAAAGGGGTGTTCTCACAACGGGGATTCTGGAAATTGGCGTTCTGGGTCCTGGGAGGCAAAAGAATCATATTGAGAACTTGGGAGACGCAATGTTATTTGAGATATCAAGGAAAGGTGTCATCTCTCCCCTTGGAACGTGGGGGATTTGGGGAGTTGAATCCCACATATCTTAAATTTGCCAAGATTGAGAAACATTGATTTGAACTCAGCTAACACCTTCTGATGTTCTTATCATGCTTTCTGGTTGAACTCTGGTGCTGGAGAAGACTCCTGCATTGAGTCCCTTGGACTGCAAGGCGATCCAAGCGGTCAGTCCTAGAGGAGATCAACCCTGACTGCTCTTTAGAAGGCCAGATCCTGAAGNTCTGTCCCTTTTTTCTTTTTTTCTTTCATCTCTCTCTCACTCTTTTTCTTTCTTTTTTCTTTTTTTATTTCTTTCTTGCTTTCTTTCTTTCTCTTTCTCTCTCTTTCTGTGTCAGTCTGTCTGTATCTGTGTGTGAGTGTGTGTGTGTGTGTGTGTGTGTGTGTGTGTGTATGGCAGTGGTGGGTTTCAAAAAAATTTCGGAACCTCTTCTGTAGGTGAGGCCTGCTTTCCGGGTCCACTGGTGGAACCTCTTCTAATCGGTTCGGTAGATTTGACGAACCGGTTTTACCGAATAGGTGTGAACTGGTAGGAACCCACCTCTGGTTTGGAGGCTGTGATTCTCACTGGCTACAAGGGGCTGCAGGAGAGCTTTGCCATGAAAAGATGGAGAGGACCCTCCGCGACGGAGGAGCTGGGGCGTAGAGGCCCCGGTTGGGAGGAGGATGGCGGGGTGAGGAAGTGCAGGGAGGGGAAAGGCAGGAGCCTTGGGCAAGGGACTCGAGGCGGAGGGGGGGTTCAGTGCAGGGTGGCAGGATCGGGTGGGTGAGTGGGCGCCCAGCGAGAAGGACCCTTGTTTCAGTACCTGTTCCGTTTTTGCGGGCGCGGCTACCAGTACGTCCGAGCACTGTCCGAGGGCTTAAGCTGCCAGCTGATATGGCTGTTACTGTCCATGGCAGCCAAATACAACTGTGGTGATGCAGGAAAGGAGAGAAAAAGAAAGAAAGAGAGAGAGAGAGAGAGAGAGAGAGAAGAGTGCAGCCTCAACGTGCATGAAAAATAACCACAAGTGCAAGCATGTGACTCGTTGTGGTAGGGATGCCAATGATGGAAGGGACTCAAGGCTACCATCTTTGGAGAACAGACCTTGGAGCCAGGGAGGGGAAGGAAACGAAAGAAGGGATGACTCAGGGGACAAAAAGAGAGAGAGAGAGAGAGAGAGAGAGAGACAAACGATGAAGAAGACAACTCTTGCCCTACTGGAGACATTGACTTGGTTTCCCACACGTTGAGCACCCAAAGGGAATTAATCTTGAGGAACGCCGTGACCCGTCAAAACCGCGCTCGACTAAGCCGCGCCCGATTAACCCGCGTCGCTGACGTCATCAACAGGGCGACAACAGCCAGCGCGGAGAAAGAAGGGCACTTTAAATAGTCCTTTGAAAGCAAGCCAATTTAACTTAAGATAAGGGTTAGCTTTAGGGTTAGGTTAAGGGTTAGGATTAGGTTTAGGGTTAGGTTAAGGGTTAGGTTTTGGGTTAGCTTTAGGGTTAGG